TTTGCTCCCTGTAAAAACTGGCTTCGATCTCCAACTTGTGAACAAACCCAAATTTTCCGGGTGATAACAGCACCTCACAATCCCCATTCTGCTCCCAGTCTCACAAAGATCATTTGAAGTCAGGACACTATAAACGGGCCCTCGTATAAGTCACAAATGAAACACACACACACACACACACACCACACGGTAATAACAACACCAACAAATTAGATTTACACAGCGCCTTTCACGTTGGGAGGACTTCCCAAGGCGCTGGACGGTCAGGGATTTTGCACCCGAGCTGGGGGGGGGGGTTGGGATCAGGAGGGGATGGAGGGCAGGGAGGATGAGGGAAAGAGGGTGACCGAAGGCACGGTCGCAGAGGAAGGTCTTGAGATGGGCCTTGAAGGAGACGAGGGAGGGGGCCGGGCGAAGGGACTGTGTGATGGAGTTCCAGAGGATGGGGGCAGAAAGGCTGAAGGCTTGACCTTTCCGATGGTGGGGCGGGCCGGGCGGGGGACATGGAGCAGGCCGGAGCACGTGGTCAGACTGACACTGACTCAGAAATGGGGCAGTTTTTCCTCTCGCCCTGCAGCAAACTAACCCCCTCAGCGCAAGCTCCTGCTCACATTCTCCGCCACATACACACACGCTGATCCCGAAAGCAGAACAAGCAGCTGTATGGGAGGCTTCTCTCCTCTCTGGGACCAGCCTAATTTACAGTTAAAACCTCCTGGAGCAAAGCAGGGGCCGAATTTTAACAACCGTCAAAAACAAAACCACAAGAGTTAGCAGCCGACCACATTAAAAGCAACAAACCAATTGCCATGGTCTCCACGCAACAAACAACGGCGGTTGAATCATTGACTTACAAACAAATAACTTGTCAGAATCTGTCTTTCGTCTTTATTAAAAGCATTCCGGACGTTACAAAATTGCCGTGGAAGAGAATTAAAAGTTGCGTTTGAGCCAAAAGCGTCAATCATTGCATTTTTTTTCTCGAAGTTCCTTAACTGCAATGCAACTGCAACAAAGAGAAAGCTTAAAAAAAAAACACCCATGCACACACACACACACAAACACAAGGTACAATCTTATAAGTCCATCTCTTTGGCAAACATCCCACTAGACTGGGCAACTGAAATTGGGCCCAGTGGTTAATTGCTTGAGGTGGTTGAAGGCAGATTGTTTTGGAAATGCAAATTAACGTGGAAATCTGTTTGAATCCGCTTGGGCGAAACTCGGCTTGATCAGATTTCAAACCAACAGAAACTTGAGAAAACATGGCAAGAGGGAATCAGGGGGAGGTTAAAGGTTGGAAACATAGGAACAGGAGGAGACCATTCAGCCCCTCGAGCCTGTACCGCCATTCCACTCGATTATGCTGATCTGTACCTCAACGCATTCACCTGCCTTTGCCCCATATCCCTTGATACCCTGACCTCACAAACATCTCGCCACTCCAGGCTCGAATATTTCAATGAATGCAGCAGCCACAGCCTTTCTGGGGTCTGGGGTTGGGGTTGGGGTTTGGGGGGGGGGGTAGGAAGGTGTTCCAGATTTGTTCCACTACCCTTTGTGCTTCCTGATTTGGAGGGGGCTCTTGTGCGTACAGACCCAGGCACGGTTTTCAAACGGGCAGAAGCATCACGCATTCCGGTCAAACCCCGATTTCCTGGCAGGCAATAAATAAATGTTGCATTCCGTGATCGTATGCAAGTCTCAGTGGCTCAGTGGTAACTGAAGCGTGCCAAATGGAGCTTAGTCACACAGGCTCGCAAAGCTCCCTGGGGCTAGATATTGTCTCAGGAGCTCCAGTGGGTCAGACAATAGACCTGGGTGGGGCAATGTCCCTCCTTATCACATACAGACTGAGGCTTCAGCTCCAGTCTGTGTTGCTGGTCTCCGCAATCCTAAATCATTCCGATCTTATCTTGTTCATCCCCTTTTCACAGTGGTTTCTTCTTATCCCCCGGTCATTAACTCCGCTGGAATTTGTGGGACGTCGATGTGCGCAAATCAGCTGGCTGCCCTGCTTCCACCACCTCCCCACCTCCCCAACACAAAATCACGCAGTCACTACGCTTTACAGTGAAATCCTGTGAAGCGCTTTGAGGCGTCCTCCCGACCAGAAATATCGGATTCAAGAATTTTAAAAAAAAGTTTTATTCCCAAATTTTTATATTAATCAAGCGTTTCTCCAGTTCCCATTTAACCGTGTGTGTGTGTGTGTGTGTGTGTGTGTGTGTGTCTGTGTGTGCTGGAGAGATGCTACAAGGAGATTTATGGTGAAACTAAACTGTGAAGCGTGCATCAGGGATGATCGATCAAGTCATTGAGAGCTTCACTGGAAATATCCCCAATCTCGTCACCAATAAACATTTGCCATTGAACGCAGGTCCAAACCCAATCTGAGAATCACGTGTTCTTGTTTTCCTGCCATTTCTTTGTGATGAAACGTCCCCCCAACCCCTTCCTCTCTCTCCCTCCCTCTTTCTTTCCCTTTCTCTCTCTTTCTCTTTTCTCTCACTCGGCAACTGCCCAACTTCTACTTCTCCCAAATAAACAGCGTGAATCAAACCAGCCTCTCCCGCTCCGAATCCACTTCTGCCTCTGAGCTGCGGTCACGAGAACAAGCCGGGGTACCAGGCAAAATTACCTCCGCACTCGTTCCCACAGCAGAATTCACTGGAACTCACACTCACAACTGGCCAGGGAAGCAGAATGCCTCATTGTGAGGGTCAACGGCTTGTCTCTCTCTGGCCTCTGATGGCAATTGACCCTTTAGTTCGTCCGATCAGGTTTTGAAATAAGAGCAAATTTCCCGCACTGTGTGTGTGTGTGTGTGTGTGTGCGCGTGGGTGGGGGGTGCAACCCCTAACCTTTAAGTCATTTCGTTGCCTTTTCGGGCGGGATGTTAAATAGCCCAGCGGCACTGCTCGAAAAGAGAAGTGAGTTCCTCTTTCCCGGTGTCCCGGCTGATAGTCTTTTAAGATAAAATTGACCACTCCCTTCGTGCCCGTTCGTAGGTCGTTGCTGTGTGCAAATCGGCTGGTGCTTTCGTCCACAATACACGCAGTCACCGCACTTCACTGTAAATTCTGTGAAGCGCTTTGAGACGCAAATGCAAATGAAAGCAGAGCAGCGCACTAACCTCTGTAAACCCATTATAATTCTGAAAAAAATGCCGTTTAACTTCAATTTAATAGGACAAGTGTCCTTACTTCCTCACTGTGGGGGCAACAGTTTTCAAAGGGACTCAACGTGTGTCATTTTTTCAAATAACTGTGAGCATTAAGGTTTTCCCCTTGACGATGAAATGCAACCAAAATAGCCCAGAGCCCTGACTGGCAAAGTCCTGAACAATCCGTCTCCCAATAAAACGTTCAACAAAAAAACACTGAACAGCGACCCATCTACAGTTTAGTGCTGACGCTAAACGAGAGGAGGTTATTGATGTGGCCGATTGAATTCGCTTTGTTAGCACTGAGAGAACAGGGCCAGGCCACTTGTTTACTCACAATTTGCCAATGAAATGAGCAATAGTCCCTCCAAAACCCAAAACAATAATAAATTGGTCATTTTCAATCTACGACTGTTTGTGGGACATTGCTGTGCGCAATTGGCCGCCGCGTTCGCCCACAAATATACAGTCAATTCACTTTACAGTGTGTTCTGTGAAGCGCTTTGGGACGTCCTCCCGACGTGAAAAGCGCTATATCAAATGCAAGGATTATTATTATTGTTATTATTATTGTGCATACAGTATCTAAACATGAATATTGAGGCCCAACTCAGTGATAGAAACATTAAGGCTTCACATGCAAATTATTGTGCAATATAATATATACACGCAGTCACCGCACTTCACTGTGAATTCTGTGAAGCGCTTTGAGACGCAAATGCAAATGAAAGCAGAGCAGCGCACTAACCTCTGTAAACCCATTATAATTCTAAAAAAAATGCCGTTTAACTTCAATTTAATAGGACAAGTGTCCTTACTTCCTCACTATGGGGGCAACAGTATTCAAAGGGACTCAACGTGTGTCAGAGAGAGAGAGAGAGAGAGAGAGCAATTGGCTGCCGCGTTTCGCCCACAAAATACACAGTCGACTCACAATTCCGCGTGTCCCGCGAAGCGCTTTGAGACGTCTCGATGACGTGATAAGGCGCTGTATCAGAGGCCAGGATTATTATTATTATTATTATAATAAATAAAATACCCAGCTACTGGGACGCGTTCGCACATATATAGCGCCTGATGTATACCTGTTTTTTAATGAATAAAAAAAATACAATATATACGATATATATTATAGAGAGAGAGAGAGATAAAACTGGTTGGGTTACTCCACCCAAAGGAGAACCTGACACTCCAATCAAAGTTACACCGACTCTGATGCCCTTGGGTTGCATTTTTGGGCGCGTTTTAAAGAGCCATTGGATTTCACAGTGGATTCACACTGAACAGCGCTGTACAAGTGAAGTCACTTAACTTAACGCTTCAACAACTGCGATCCCCAAGACGTGAGAAGCAATTCAGGGAGAGAGAGAGAGAGAGAGGGAGAGAAAGGCACTAAACAGAAAAATAATTTGGGAGAGGAATTTATATATATATATATAGAGAGAGAGAGAGAGAGAGAGAGAGAAAAGCACTAAACAGAAAAATTATTTGGGAGAGGAATTTATATATATATATATAGAGAGAGAGAGAGAGAGAGAAAGGAACTAAACAGAAAAATAATTTGGGAGAGGAATTTATATATATATATAGAGAGAGAGAAATAAATAAATGTATAATATAAGTACCAAAAAACTTTCTCAAACTTTTTGCTCCAACTTTTTTTCCCCCCAATCAATCAATCAAACTTTCTCTCTCTCTCTCTCTGCTTTTGTCCACAAAAGCTAACGAATAACTAATTAACTCATAGCCCTTCTTATTATTATTATTATTTATTATCATTATTATTTTTCTTTTAAAAAAACCCCTTTTTTCCCCCCCTTTTTGGGTGACTTACCGACTGTGACAGTGCTGGAATCCTGGAGTGTCAGAGAACAGCAGAGAAGGCAAACGAGGGAGAAGCAGAAGAGAGTCACTGTGCCTCTGGCCATCCTTCCTGGGTTTTGTTGGGGGGGGGTGGGGGGTGTCTGTGTCTGTGTGTCTGTGGGGGTTTTGGGGGGTGGGTTTGGGGGGGGTTCAAGGTTTGGTGGTTTGTTTTCTGGAGAGCAAAAGGAACGACCACAAACGATTGCAGACTGGATTCGTGAAAGGGGGGAAAAAAAAGGTGTGGGTGGGAAACAAATGGGAAATCCTTTCCCCAAACTTGTTTCTGTGTCTGTCTGTCTGTCTGACTTGTCTGTCTGTCTGTCTGTGTCTGTGTCTGTCTGTCTGTCTGTCTCTGTGTCTGTCTGTGTCTGTCTGTCTGTCTGTGTCTGTCTGTCTCTGTGTCTGTGTCTCTCCTCTTGTCCTCAGGCTCCACACTCAAAGCTCCACTGGCACCATTCACAAGGTGTTGAAATCAACCAGACTGTGTGTGTGTGTGTGTAGGTCTGTGTGTGTGGGGGGGTCTGTGTGTGTGGGTCCGTGTGTGTGTGTGTGTGGGGGGTCTGTGTGTGTGTGTGTAAGTCTGTGTGTGTGTGGGTCCGTGTGTGTGTGTGTGGGTCTGTGTGTGTGTGGGTCTGTGTGTGGGGGTCTCTGTGTGTGTGTGTGTGGGTCCGTGTGTGTAGATCTGTGTATATATGTGTGTGTGGGTATCAGTTTCAGTCAATGTAGCCCTCTGTACACTTCAGACTCCGCCCCTTAAAGGCGTCCGGCCGCCGAAGCCTCCGCCGGGTCCTTTCAAAGCCGCCGCGGACGCACCCTCCCCTTTAACCAGCCGACTCTCTCGCACCCCTTGAATGGCACTGACTGATTCTCTCTCACACACACACACACTCTCTCTCTCTCTGTATGTTCTGCTTCATAACGCCAGCCGTGTTATATAGGGGCTGGTCACAGGCATTTCACATCACTTGTGGATTGCCCTATCACCAGCACCACATGCAAATAACCCCCCCCCCCCCACCCCCCCACACACACACAAACACAACACCGATTTAGCCCAATAAACACCGCCTGATGTATATGGGCATTTTTACATATATATTCATACATATCATCATAAAATACTGTTTCGCGCTGCGGCGCGGTAAAGTCATTCGATGCCCCCGATCAAAATGACTCGAAAGCTGGTGCGAGAGAGAAAGAAAAGACTCCTCCCCCCCCCCCCCCCCACCCCACCTCACCCGCACAAACTTTGCAACCGTCGTTGAAAGGCGTAGAGTTTAAATTAAACTTTGAACCCCTTCTCACTTCATTTTAATAGTCAAGTCTCCTTAAACGATCCGCATTTACGCAGCCACCCCGGCCCCCCCCCCCCCCACCCGCATACTTGACGGTGGCGGAGTAGGACACCGAACTGAGGGGGTGGGGTGGGGTGGGGAGGGGGGTGGGGAGCAGGTGACCGTAGACACGGTCGGAGAGAAAGGTCTTCAGGCGAGATCTGAAGATGGGGAAGGAGAGCGGGGACAAGGCGGAGGGAGATGGAGGGAGAGTGTCCTGGGGTTTCGGAGCGGTGGTTGAAAGTGCTGCACCCTCCCTACAGGGGCAACATAGTTTTAAACTTGAAGCCATAATATAACATACTTTTAAGCTTTAAACCGAATCGTGTTCACAGCCCTCGCATTTCCGTACAGCGCCCCGTATCGTCCAAATCTCAAACTGCCTCGCAGACAAATACTGCAACGTGCAGTGACTGCGTATCTGTGGGCGAAAGGAAGCTCAGCAGCTAATTTGCACGCAGCCACATCACATCAACAGCCATTCGTGAAGCGAATGACCGATTAACACATCTGGGCGTATTGTTGGCCAGGACATTAGCGGGAAACTCCCTTCTCTTTACGAATAGTGTCATGGGATCTTTCGAGAGTTACAAGGAAAGGCAGTTTCATGTCTCATCCAAAGGCATCTTGCTCCCTCCTCTGCTCCTATCCAGTTGCGTTGGTGAGAACCACAATCTATAATAATAATAATCCTCGCATTTGATATAGCGCTTTTCACGTCGGGAGGACGTCTCAAAGCGCTTCACAGAACACACTGTAAAGTGAACTGACTGTATGTTTGTGGGCGAACCCGGCAGCCAATTGCGCACAGCAATGTCCCCACAAACAGTCGTGGATTGAAAATGACCAATTTATTATTGTTTTTGTTTTTAAATCTGATCTGATCTGATCTGATCTGATATGAGAGCTCAAAGTCCAAGCTAAGCCTACAAGAAGTGAGATCTCAGTGTGTGTTATATCGCTCTTAACATCTATGGCACTTCCAATGGGTTAGTGGGTATAGACGTGCTGAGCAACAACAACAACAACAACAACAAGATTCCATTTATAAAGCGCCTTTCACGTCAGGAGGACGTCCCAAGGAGCAGAATGAGCACCTTTGGCCAGACTGCTATAGGTTTGAATCCAGTTAGTTTGCCTGATGCCTTATTAAGGAATCGAGCTTCAAACCATATTGCCTTAACCCGAAAACTCCTTGCAACATTTGGTCTCCGTTCCTAGAAGAAAAGGACACAAGGGAGTCTTGTTATCTGCTGTTATTGGGTGCAGATTGTCCCTAAAAATAGGAATGTCTATTCTCAGGACACCCTTCTCTTCCCCCGTCCCCACCCCCCCAACCACCGGCAATCATTCCTTGTGAGGTTTTAATACAACATATATGTACGTATGTACGTTACACTCTGTTCTGTGGAATGTACAATTTTTGCCTTGGCAGTGGCTGTGTCAAATATGTGTCAAATGTGTACTTCAAACCGTAGGAACAAAGTGTATGACAATGTAAAGAACCAGTGTCAGACTAGCTCAGTCGCCTCCGAGTCAGAAGGTTGTGGGCTCGAGGTTGTGGGCTCCCCTACGTCGGAGATTTTGAGCTCACAGTCTAGGCCGGCGTTCCAGTGCAGTACTGGGGGAAGAGCTGTTTTGTCGGAGGTGCCGTCTGTCGATGAGACCGTAAAACAGAGCCATTAAAGATCGCAAGGCACTATTCAAAAGAGAAGGGAGTTTCTCCCGCTGTCCTGCCCGGTAATCCTCCGTTTACTTCCTGGCTGTGTGTGGGACCTTGTTCTTTAAGATGTTCTGTAGAGGGCCACTCTAAACACTCTGTCAAATGCAAGGATTATTATTATTATTATTAATAATAAATCACTGGGACATAAGCTGGTGCAGTTTTCATACCTGTTATTGGTGGAGGAGGTTATACTTGGTTGTACTTAAAGGATCCCAGACTTTTACACACAGACAGAGGCCATTCAGACCACGGTGCCCAAACCCTTGCCTAAACCTTCTCTGAAACCGCTCAGTCCCACTCCTCCTCCCTCCCCCCACTCCCACTGCACCCTTTTATACTTTTCCTTTGTAAATATTGGTCCGATTCCCTCTTAAAAGTTATTATACAGTCTGCTCAGGACTGTTCAATCTCCTAACAAATCGTGGAGTCCTGTAGCTCAGTGGTTAGAGCACTCACTTTGCAAGTGAGAGACCTGAGTTCAATTCCAGGCAGAGGGCGAAACCTCGGGCAAGTTTCCTTACTCCACACAGAGCCTAATAATAATCCCTCCAAAACAAACAATAATAAATTGGTCATTTTCAATCTACGACTGTTTGTGGGACATTGCTGTGCGCAATTGGCTGCCGCGTTCGCCCACAAATATACAGTCAATTCACTTTACAGTGTGTTCTGTGAAGCGCTTTGGGACGTCCTCCCGACGTGAAAAGCGCTATATCAAATGCAAGGATTATTATTAACCCTCCGTAATTGTTACCTGGAGAATCAATCAAATAAGAGACTATAGTCAGTACAAGTCATAAAAGCTTTTAAAGCCGCGTTTACTTGAATTTTCGGGGAACTGCATTCTGATCTGTGGCGTTCCATTAGAAACGCCTCACTTTTGTTTCCGAGTGCGCTTATAACAGTCAGCGTTGGCTCAATACAGTCGGAGAAATTTACAGCACAGTCCATTGACAGCACAGACCATTCGGTCATCGTGTCTGTGCGGGCTCTTTTAAGAGCGATCTTTTCAAAGTTTCAGGATTCTCCATTGACTTCGGAAGGAATTACGATAATAATAATAATAATAATAATTTTTGCATTTTATGTAGTGCTTTTCACATCTTCTAGAAGTCTCAAAGCACTTCACAGAATATACTCTCTACCTTAAAGTGAATTGACTGTATGTTTGAGGGTGAAATTATCAGCCCCAAGAGTGTGAAAATACTATAAATATATATATATATAGTATGAATGTTGTTGGCTCTTAGAACCTGTGGATAGTCCTTTGTTACAAATGGCCTTTATTACGCTAAAAATAATAATCCACTTGTTACAGCTCTACAATGGGATTTCTCATTGTGACGTCTCAATATCCCCAAATGCTTTTTAAGCTCCGAAACTGAGGCAGGTGTTGTAACAGCCGAAAGCAGGAATTCTCACTATCTCAGTGACCTTGTGTGTCTTTCACTATACGTGTTCCAGGTGCTAACCGGGCTCCCCTATCAGCCAGGCGGTCCTTCCGCCTCTCTGCCCCCACCCTCTGTAACTTCTCCGTCTCCACCCCCTCCATTGCCTCCTTCAAGGCCCATCTCAAGACCTTCCTTTTCGACCTTTTGTGCCTTTGAGATTTTTCCTCCTCCGCACCAATCATTTGCTCTCCACCTCTCTCTGATCCTAACCCGCAGCTTGGATGCAAACTCCTCAATGCCCAGCAGCGCCTTGCGACATCCTCCCGACACATAAAGCACTACATAAATGCAATTTGTTGTTGTTTTTGCGCTCGTTGTTGTTGTTAAGTCCCTGACTTCTTCCCAATTGATCAGCTTCAAAGCAAAGTCAGCCTTTCTTCCAACTCTTAAGGCACAAATTCCGCGCCCCTCCCCGGGTCTAGATTTACTGTGTTTACGCAGCGTTTTCAGAGGCTCCAGGAATTCGGCAAACAAACACTTAAACCGCGGCCTTAAGTTTTGAAGCCACTTTTCTGTGAGTTCTTTTAAAACCGAATTCAACAACGTTGACAGCATCGCGGAGCGCGAAGCCGAGCCGAGCCGGGTCGAACAGGGTCGGTCTTCAGCCACGATCTGAAGATGGGGGAGGAAGGGGCAAGGCAGAGGGATAAGAGGGAGGGTGTTCCGGAGTTTCGGGGCGCAGTGGCTGAAAGCGCAGGCCACCGATGGTGGACTCGTGGGACGGGCAGGAGGCCTGAGCCAGTCACGAGGAGCCAGATTCACAAGGGGGTGGTGGTGGGGGGGGGGTTCCTAAACCGGATCGGCT